GATACTTGAGCGTGAAATGAACCCCTCTATTTATAGGTGATGGATCCGACAGTACACACGACCGGCGGTTATATGTCTTTTCTCATGTCGAACCTGTCGGGTTCCAAGCAGGTCGAACCCAAGCCAGGTCGAACCTTGACGTCCATACTTAGCCTTTTTATAATGGGCGAACCCGGTCTCCTTGGCAGGGCCGAGGTGGACCTAGGCAATCCCTTTTATTCAGTTTCTTCAAACACCAATAAGAGTCCTCCACGTCTCCTAGGTATATTTTACCCCCAAACATATGTGATTATAATTAAAAGGAATACAAGCTCTCATGCTCAAGACAGAGAGTTATTCTCCATACGCTTCTAAATATTCTCTAAAATTAGAAGGCAATTAAGCATAAAACAAAGCAAATAGAGGAAAAGGGAAGGAAATGCATTCTAGAAGACATGAACAAGTAAATAATAAGGCGAACGATGTAAGGAGTGAGAAAAAAGGAAGGAAATGAGAGAGAAAAAAGAGAAAGGTGAGAGCAAGGTTTTAAATGTAGATGTCGATGGAAATGTCAGGTCTTAATTTTATGGAAATATCTATAAAACGTCAATGTCGATGGATATTTCTATAAAGGTTAGAAAAATTAAAAAATCGTAAAAAATATTTAAATTAATAAATAAACATTTTCCTATTTCTAAATTAGTTAAAAATAATAAATATTAATATTATGTATATATTAGTGACATTTTGTTATATTTTTTCGTATTTTGTCGATTTTCTTGTACTATGATGGAAATGTCGATTTAGCCCTTATGTCGATGTCGAACCTATAGAAACAGACATGTCGATATATGGGTGAGAGATTGTAGGGGAGAGAAACAACAGGAGAAAAGTCAAATGAATTTTGAAAAAAACTGAAATATATATTGAAAAATTAATGATGAGATATAAATTTTATTAAAATAATAGGAAAAAAAACCAACATGTGTTAACTTATATTATATAAAAAAACAATTTGTTAACTCATTATTCGGTCGTCAAAGCGAGCATAGCTCAATCGTAATTGACATATATCTCTAACTAAGAAGTAAGTTGTGAGTTCGATCCCCTATTAATGATCCAGCTCAAAAACTCGAACCAGCAGTTCAAAAATGAGATTCGATCAAGATCGATGAACAAAAAAAATCATGTTGAAATAATAGATATGGACGAATTGTAATCCCTTGAATATTGATAACCCCCACCTCGTACTGCAAAACTTATTATTCGGGCCATGCCGGAATTAGAATCACTGTGATCCTAAACCTCAAAACCAAAATTTTTCTCTGAATTATTCAGTATAAATCGATAAATTCATCATTTGAAGAAATAATTTTTTAAATTCCAAAACCTGAAAAATTTTGGGAGCAAAGCTTGAAAATTTGCAAATGGTACCCCACCATGTCTGAAAAGTCCCCAAAACAACGCGTTTACACAGTAATAGTGGCGCTGATAGTTGGATCCATTGGCTTCACATAATTATGATTTGAGCGTTTGCCTGTTCGCCAACTGCCCTCTCTCTCTCTCTCTCTCTCTCTCTCTCGCGCGCGCGCCCCGATCTCGATCTTCTTCTGGCGGAGTAGAGGATGCAGATGATGCTCTCCAAGGCCTCCTCGGCCATGGCCTCGATTCCTTGCACTAGGGTTCGTCTCTACTCTCCTTTTCCCCCTGCTTTCTGCTTCCATTTTCTCTATTCTGCACATTTTTTGTTTGGCGATTGCAGCGACATGTTTTGATGATGTTTTGTTTCTCGATTTTGAGCTGAAGCGGCGTAGTCTATGATTCTATGAGGAGGGTGCTGTTTAATTTGTTGTAATCTTACTTGGTCGGCTTGTTATTATTGTCTAGTATGATTCTTGTTGCTAAGATCTGTACATCAAGATGTATTATTCTTCGTTCGTACGTCTAATATCGTGTTGAAGTGGGCAGTAAGTCCGTAACATTAGCATGGTTTGCTGATGGGTTATTGAATAGAAAATTTTATTTTACGTTTATTGACGAATGGGAGTTTCAGGTGAGAAGCGTATGTGTTTGGCCAAGCATGAAGCAACTTTCTTTTAGAAAGGACCTTTTATATGGGGTTATGCGACTCCTATCTACACCATTGAAAACATTGCGTGGAGCTAGTCGTTCGCTTAAGGTTGCTCAATTTTGCAGTGTCGTCAATATGTCCTCCACATTGCAAATTGAACTGGTAAGCTAATAGAATTTGAAATTGCTATTTTGCTGTCAATGGCATCAGTTCTTTTTCCCCGTGATGGTCTTCGGGTGGCCATTTTATAATACTTCCCTGGTTTATCATTTTTTTTCCTTTTAGATTCATGCTTTAATTCTAGAAAAGTTTTATCTGTGAGAATTTATATTTTATAGGAAGAGGCCTTATGTTCATTTCTATTTGTTGGTTGCATTTATTTCAGTTTATTATTTCTTTCTAGAATTAGATTCCGTCAATGATTGCTACACATGATTTATCACTTTAACCTGCTCAGCCACAAAACATATAATTCTTGTTCCAGGCCCATGTGAGTTAGGTGGCTATAGATTATGTTGAATGAACATTTGTCATGCTCTGATCGCTCTCCCACCCTAAATGAGGCCTTTCTTAGGATGCTGGTTATCCACTATCATTCTAGGTGCTACATCCCATATTAATTGCTTAGACACTTCCAGCACACACATTCATTTCATCTCTCTTTTCCTCTACTCCTCTGTGATAGGTACCTTGTCTTCGTGACAACTATGCATACCTCTTACATGATGTTGATACGGGCACAGTTGGTGTTGTTGATCCTTCTGAAGCTCTACCAGTTATCGATGCTTTAAGTAGGAAAAACCGAAATTTGACATATATACTAAATACTCATCATCATCATGATCACACAGGTGGGAATGAAGAATTAAAAGCAAGGTATGGGGCCAAGGTATGGATTTAACTTTTTTTGTATTGCATTAGTATTTTAGTTGACCATATTCTATAAATGTTGTATGTTTGAACCCTAAAGGACGGTCATAAAGGTAAGTACCCATCGATCCCACCAAGAGGTCAGGAATCCTTGAGGTCATTATGTGAAAGATTAAACAACTCTCCAAAAGGAAGCTGGTTTATTCTTTCCAAAAAGAAAGAGTGTAGGATTATATGGTAGTCTCTATTCTTCATTCTTGTACTTGATAAATATAGTGAGGTGAATATTTTTTGATATATAATACAAAGATATCTATTGTCACAACTCACGACTCACGAGAACATTTTACCTTGTGAATTACAAGAATTGTAACTTACATCATTACTTATCAGAAAGCATTTTGAGTTTTTGAATTAAGTATTAAATTAAAGACTTTTCTAACTTGTACTCTAATGGATGGAATTGAAATGAACTAAGGAATTGATGCTGCATATGATTTTTAATAGTCTTTGGGATTTTTCTTATCCTTGGATGAAGGTTTATAATCCTTAGAACTTATGATACAAATTTTGTACGCTCTTTCATTGGTTGTAGGTGATTGGCTCTGGAATAGATAGTGACAGAATTCCTGGAATTGACATAACTTTAAAAGATGGAGACAAATGGATGTTTGCTGGCCATGAGGT